AACCAAATGATAAATTATGATACTATGTTCATATGAAATCGTATAAATTAACAGACTCTGACCAATACCAGGAGTGTGAAACCTATGGACAGGGAAACATCAAAATGATCTGATTATAAGACCATCCAAAACGTGAAACCAGAGGATAGTGATGTACCGCCATGATAATTTTAAAACAGCATTTACTCTTTACCTCATCAAGGGACTGATCTGCCTACGAAAGCATGTTTTATCTTTTGAAATTCAACTGATGTGAAAATGTATTTGAGTAATTGGACAAAATGAGTAACACTGTGACAGGAATTTCTTGAAATGTCTCTGAGACTAGGATAGGTAATTCCAGTTGTGGGATTTCATGCTTTAGAAGTCAGTTAAAAGTCTGTCAGAAGTAGGGTGAGGTGCTGTCTTCTTTAAAAACAGAATGGGTAGGGGCGCCTGGGTGGCTCAATTGGTTAAGCATCCCACTTCGGCTCAGGTCATGATCTCATGGTTCATGAGTTCCAGTCCCGCGTCGGGCTCTGTGATGACAGCTAGCTCAGAGCCTGGAGCCTGCTTCCGATTTTGTGTCTCCCTCTCTCTCTGGCCCTCCCCTGCTCACGTTGTCTCTCTCTCTCTCTCTCTCAGAAATAAAACATTGGGAAAAATTTTAGAAAAAAACAAAAACAAAAACAGAGTGGGTAGAATGGCTAAGAGGAGTTTGTCAAGAGACTTCCCAGTCTAAATGTTCTAAAGCTTTTTTGCTGCCCTGAATAAAATTTCTCGCCTCAACCCTGAATTACAGCTGTTCTTAAATGTGTTACCTTATGAACACCTAGCAGTCAGGGGACCCAGTTTCTATATGTCTGACGTGGTTAGGTGTTCACCAAGTCAGTGGTTCTCAAGATGCGGTCCTAGGCCAGCAATATCCGCATCACCTAGGAACTTTGTTCAGAGGGTGCATTCTCTGCCTATCCCAGGTCTACTGAATGAGTAATCTGATACCCTAAAATTTAAGAACCATAAACCCTAGAACCCTAATCCCAGTCATTTACAAACTGAATCCGTGACCTGGCGCTAATCTTGTTCCTTTACTTTCTGTACAGGTCCCCTCCCCTCACAATGGTTTTCCTCTGTGCGACCAAATTCTCTGCCTCTGCCCCTTCACCTTGCACAGACATCACCGCCTTCTTGAGCAGCGACCCAAGTTCTCTGCCAAAGGTGCTGGCTACCAGTTCAGAAGCTAAGACCCAGGGATGTGGCCCGGCAGTGACAGCTGCTAAGAAAGCAACCACTTCTCTGGAATCATTCTTCCAAAAAGCTGCAGAAAAGCAGAAAGTCAAAGAAGCTTCAGTGTCATCTCTTGCTGCCACTACCCAGGCCGCCACTAGCAATTCACCATCCAAGCCCTCGTTACCTTTCCAAACCAGTCAAGCTACAGGAATGGAGCCCTTCTATAAGCAGAAGGGTCTACTTCTGAAGCAGAAACCGCTTAATAATCTTTCGATTCTCTTCCCTCCACAAAGTCCACAGTCCAGCCCTAAAAAGTTAACAAACTCTTTTCCAGCAGAGTATCCAGAAGGCACCCCCTTCTGTCCAGCAGTACTGAAGGTAGGAGCCTCTGAAACAACTGCAGGGATGGATTTGGCCCAGAACGGCCCAAGCAGGCTTGCTGCTTTAACTTCCAGCTCTGCTCCGGAAGTGGCTCCAAAGCCTACTACCCCAAGTCTTGTGGCAGCTGAGGACGAGGTGCCCTGTGAGAAGTGTGGCTCTCTGGTGTCTGTATGGGAGATGCCAGAACATGAGGACTATCATTTTGCATTGGAGTTACAGAAATCCTTTATGCAGCCCCAGTCCTCAAACTCACAGGTTGTTCCTGCCAGTTCTCCTCAAAGCAAAAGAAATCCCAAGAGTCCGTCAGCCTCCAGTAATAAACGCCCTAGGCCTGAGGGCATGCAGACCTTGGAATCATTTTTCAAGCCATTAGCACACTAGTGCTGCCCTCAGGCTTGCTGCAGGGTTTTAATATTTTACCTGTAAACTAGGAGATGGAAATGTGTTTACCTCTCAAGGAAATCTGTTACTTTTATGTAAGAAAAATAATCATTAGATGCTGAGTTAAGACTCCCATCTCTTCAGGGGCACAGATTCTAATTGGATTCTAATTCTGTTGCTGACAGAGATGTAAAAACTGACTTCTTGCAGAGATACAACTGCTTGGAGTTTTTAGTCATTATAGGGATGCAGTGTCGGAGTAAAAACGTGTGGGCCCTGAAGCCCAAGAGAGGCACTTTCCTCACTTTTCCTCATCTGTAAAACTGACATAACCTTACTGATTATTGGAGATCAAGGACAATGTGCTTAAAGATGGCACAGAAAAGAAACTGAGAAAAAATGCTTTAAAAAGATTTTTCCTCCAGCTCTGCAACAGGGGCAGTTCAGATAATGCTTTGGCCAAAATGTGAGGTTTGAGAATGTGAGGTGAAGACCTGAAACCCTAAGTTGATAACTAGTTTAGGACAGGGCTGTGTACACAGAAGCTGCTCAATAAAAACTGAATTTCATACAAGTAACCCTACTATGGCCACAATTTTAGCCACTGGCCCTTCTACCTCTTATGTTTGGTCTAATATAGAATGAGATTGTTCATGGACTAGTTCAGAAACTCTGTTTAGATTGGGTAAGTCATGATCAGAACTGGATCCTCTCTAGAATCTTGCTAGTCAGGGGACCTGGCTGGTTCAGTAGGTACAGCATGCGATTCTTGATCTTAGGGTTGTGAGTTCAAGCCCCATGTTGGGTATAGAGATTACTTAAAACTAAAATCTTAGAAAGGAAGGAAGGAAGGAAGGAAAGGAAAGGAAAGAAGGAAGGAAGGAAGGAAGGAAGGAAAGGAAAGGAAAGAAGGAAGGAAGGAAGGAAGGAAGAGGAAAGAAAGAAAAAGAAAAGAAAGAAAGAAAGAAAAGAAGGAAGGAAGGAAGGAAGGAAAGAAAGGAAGAAAAGGAAAGAAGAAGGAAGGAAGGAAGGAAGAAAAAGAAAGAAAGAAAGAAAGAAAGAAAGAAAGGAAGAAAGAAAAAGATAATCTTGCTGGTCTGAGTGTGATTTTGAAGAGCAGCAGCAGCAGCAGCCGCCTCTGATGGGAACTTCTCAGGAATTGTCTCAGCCTCAGCCTCACTGATACTGACCCAGATTCTCCAGGGTGTTTGAGGAATACTGATCCATAAGATGCCAATGGCAAGGCAGTTTTGTAGAGGGCAATGACCTTTCCTTAAACCCTTAACTACAAATGTAAGAGGTAGTGCTTGGCTTTCAGGGTCAATGGCATGTTCATCTCTTTCCTTCTGATGTTTGAATATTTAGCTTAGGGTTTAGCATAGCTTTCTGCAGCACTTGTCTATGTCAACAGTTCTATATTCTTTTTTTTTAGAGAGAGAGCAAGTGGAGGTGGGAGGGACAGAAGGAGAGAGAGTATCTAAAGCAGGCCGCAGGCTCAGTCCCACAACCCTGGTATCATGACCAAAATCAAGAGTCAGACGCTCAGCCTACTGGGCCACCCAGGGCCCCTTATCGTACCATACTCTTATTCTCTGTTCTTATATGTGGGAAGTCAGCTTTTTTGATATGGGAAACCTTGAGTTACACAGAGAACCCAACCGAAGATGAACTGAACTGGGGGGGTGGGGGGGAGTGGGTAGGAAGAATGCCATACACATTCCACCTCTCATACTTACACACAAACCAACTGCTTTTAAAGCTTATTTATAAATTAGGGGTCTGTATTTAGTGTGAAGAAAGCGGGGAGCATTTGAAAACCACTGAGTCTAGCAGGAAACTATTTCTTCAAAACTATTTTCCTCTTTTGAGCTAGTTGAATGCAGTGTACCATGGCCCTTTCTCTACTAGATTTATAGTTTTCTGAAGGCAAGAACTCTTGCACATAAGAGGTGCTTGATATTCACTGGATGAAACATATGTAGTAAACAGTTTTAGATGATTACTAGAACTGGAACAGTAAAAATGTACATTCTACTGATGGCAGTGATGGGCTGCCTTATACATCTTTTTATCCTCCTAAACATTCCATTTTTGTAGCAAGGTAGAGCTCAGTAGTTCCTGAAGATGTCGCATTAAGTACTGAGATCATTTTCTAAAATTTCCTTTCTTAATCTGGTGAAAAGGGCCTTTTTTTTTAAAGCCTAAAATGAAGCAACAGTCTCCCTTGGGTACTGTACACATCAAATGGAACAAATTTTTAACACTTTGATTGGAAAGAGAAATTGTGAGTTGAAACATTAGTTTCACTGGACTTCTGAGAGGCCAGGACAGGTGGGGGTAGTGAGTAACCAGTAACAATACCGGCAGCGCACCTTCTATTTTCTTGGAGACGCCAACCCTGCCCCAGCATAGTGGCAATAAGCCTGTGGAGGTGCCAGCAGACGGACACATAAAAGTCAGTGTTGGGTGAAAGCTCTGTTACCTTTTTGCTGAATACAACCTTTTCTCAGAGCTGTTTCTCAGCAACTGTACAGAGGGAAATAAACCGCTCTTCGTCCCCGACACAGGAGGAAGTTCTTTAACCACGGGCTTCTTATAGTAGCCAGGTAAGCCAGTGGGATTTTTTTTGTTTTTAAATTTTTTTTTTAATGTTTTATTTCTAGGAGAGAGAGAGAGACAGCGTGAGCAGGGGAGGGTCAGAGAGAGAGGGAGTCACAGACTGAAACAGGCTCCAGGCTCTGAGCCGGCAGTCAGCACAGAGCCCGACGCGGGGCTCGAACCCACGAACCGCGAGATCAGGACCTAAGCGAAAGTCGGACGCTTAACCGACTAAGCCACCCAGGCGCCCCAAGCCAGTGGGATTTTTAAAAGCAGCAGAGCTTGAATAGTTAGGGAAGCTATTACTTTAATACCCTGGAGACAGAATGCCTCACTGGACATTGGGCCATGTTTATCATTAAATTTCTTTTGCAAGGATCACTGCTCAAAACGCAGTCCCATAAAACATGACTGTCAGGTACTCTGAACACAGAAACAGGAAGAAAGGACTAAGGTGTGGCCAGGTGGTTCCAAGAAGCCACTTTAGGCTACGTAAACCTCACTTCGAGCTCTTCTGCACTGTGAGGGAAAGCGTGAGGGCCAGATGACCGTGACTCTTAAGTTCCATGCTTTAGTAAGGAGCTTGCGTGCTAATCTCCAAATCTCTGACCTGGCACAGAAGCGGGCTCCCCAGTGCGGAGACCATAGCCAAGTGGCCAACTCCTCAGGTGCGGGCTGGTTACCTGTCTCCACTGAAAAGGCGGCAGTTTTGCTTTCTAGTCTGCTTGCTCAAGAGCTATGCAAATAAGCCAGCATACCCAGGTCACAATACTGGAACGCGGAGGGCAGGGGAGGGACAGGAAAGGGAGAATGGGGAAGGATACCAGATGGGCTCTTTGCTCCATCCAGGGCTCAGCGGTGCTAGGGTTTCACTTGTCTCTAATCCTGAAGAGGAATCTAGCTCTGGTAGCTGAGCCTATATCTTAAGCATAAGCACGGTGTGTTCAATAAAACATTTTTATTCTGTACAATATATATGTGTGTATTTAAATATATATATGTATGTATATATTTATATTTATATATACGCAGAGAAACCTGAACCAACAAATCCCTGAGTCCGGGGAACCCAGGACATTAACAAAGGGAAAGGAGAGAGTCCATGCCCTAAAGTGTAGGAAATATGGCAACATCTTTCCCTTTCCTCCAGGTTCCCTGCAACACAGGGAGGGCTTAACGTGGGAGCAGGAAGGGTGGAGGGGGTAAAGGATGGCAGGATGGGGAGCTGTGGGTCAGGTCCCCAGTCACTAGTCTGGGAAAGTAAAACACTGTTTGATCCAGCACTAAAACCAACAAATCACTGCAGAGGAGGGGACAAGACTGATTGACATGCAGCTGACCTTCGGTATGCCAAGCCTCCGCTCGGCAGCCCCACGCCTGGGCCAGCATAACAAATAGCACCTGTGGGGCCTATGAGCAGAAAAATGGAGAATGGCCCTTGAGTGAAGGGAAGGGAGACAAAGCTGAGGAACAGACCTCATGCCTCAGCACAAGGTGGGGAGCACTGTCCCTGTGCCATTTCTTCAGACCCTGGGCCACCACCAGATGGCCGGGAGCAGCCGTCTTTTGTCCACAGTCAAGTAGAGATGGGCAACTTACATGGCCTTGAGAAGAGGTATAGAAAAAGGAGTGATTTCGAAGTCCACCCCCAGTTGTGACAATTCCTGAAGTGCAGGGACCACACTGGCGAAATCATGCCCAGTCCAGACAGTAGGGTCAAGGTGGCGGCGGTCAGCTCCCTCCGGTAGACAGGCCATGGAGTTTCCCGGGTTGATGAGCCAACCAGGTGGACGCAAAGCTGCTATGCACTGCCCTGAATGCTCCTGTCTTCTTGACAACCTCAGGACTGCCCCTCCCTGGCCACAACAAGCTTGGCACCTCTCCAGAAAGGTGGCAGGGAGCAAGGGGCAGAGAGCACCGGTCTCTCCCTAGCCTAGTAACACACAAAGCCGCCAACGGGGGCAGCATGGCCAGAAGTCACCTTATATATTGTAGGGACAGCAATAGAGCTGTGCCTGCCTGGAGGAGTTCAGAAGCCCATGTTGGCCTGGGCCTCTCCTGCTGCAATGGCTTGCACATCAGTGACATGGCCGATGCCCTTGGTGACACCCTCCCGGAACAGCAGCTTGGCGCCCACCTTCAGGTACTCGGGGTGTTTCAGGAAGCGGAAACGTACCACTGCCTTCTCCCCTGTCCGCAGCTTGTCCTGCAGCAGACACGCCGTCACTGGTCCTGGACAGTACTGCCCATCCCACTCTCTACCAGCCTTGGCACTCCACCCGCAGGGGCCTATCAGGCTTCCCCCCACCCAGAGAGGGGCTTGGTCCCCTTTACGGGATCAGGGAGTTCTCTAGGAGTCTGGGGCCAGGCAGAATTCTGACTTTTCCCTGGAAAAACAGTGTGGCTGGGGCCCTCTCACCTTGGCATGGATCTTTTCCACCACTGCCGTCTGCCGTACGTTGCCCACATGTACGGTCACCTGGAAGCCTCGCCGGAACGTGGTGGCATGGAACAGTAGCACTATCTCCGCCTCGAACACTGAGCAGATGGTGGGATTCATCTCGGGGCTCACCATCACCATGCCCTGGGGAGGCACAGCCCCCACACCAAGGGCAGACCTTGCATTAGTCTCTCCCTCCCGTGCCACCCTCACCCCCTTTCCAGCTCCTGAATTTCCTCTTCCTCTAGGACTTTGAACACAAAGACCTCAGCAGACAATATTCAAAACTCGCCACTTAAAACCCTTCCTTATCCCTCCCACGTCCTCTAATCCCTCTTCTAACGTGTAGTATTTTTAAGGTCCTGGATATTCAGGTTGCACGACAATGATCCATACTGAAGTATTCTGAGTATTCTAAGCCTTTTTCACACAGTCTGTGTAACCAGCTTACACAGGGGGTTAGACTGTGTTTCCTTTGAGTTCCTCTGAAGCATCTTAGGTGCTTCTCATTCAAACAGCCAGTGTCCCAGGCGCTTCTCTGTGTTCCCTCTCCAACCCATCCTCCCACCTCACCTTGCGAAGAAGGGCACGGTCAAAGTCCCCGAGGGCCAATGTAGCAGCCTGGCCAGCTCGCAGCACACGACAGGCAGAGCGGTTGCGCTGGATGCTGCATACTCTCAGCTCCAGGAAGCTGCCATCGTCCGTGGGGCCCACCACCAGCTGGTCCCCCTCACGGCAAATCCCACTGTAGCACGGAGGGCAGGTAGCACAGCATCAGCCAAGGCCCCCTACCTGCTTCTCTGGGACGGTCACCCAGAACATTCATTCCCTTCTAAAGCTGACTCCCTCAGGTTGGGGGAAAAAACCCTAACCTCTGGCATGGAGGCAGGGGAGAGGCCCCAGTTCAAGGTTCAGACTCCAAAGGCTAATACCTGGAAAGACCAGTAGTGATGACTAGAGAGGTACCTGCTGCTTGGACACTGAATACCCAGTCCCTGAAAGAGCAAGCTCTCCCCTTGGGTTTCACCCCCTGCTCTGAAAAGAGTCATAAGGGATCTTATAATTCCCTATAAGAAAATGAAGTCAGCTGAAATCATCTGGGGCTCAAGACCCACATTTCTCCCTCAGGGGCCGGGAGATGGCCAGTTAGCAGCAATACTGCTCCTTGAGCCAAAAGACTAGCTTTCTCTAGCTCTTCTCATTGTGACAGCCTGATCCAGAAACAAGCACATAGTTTAGACAGGCTCTGTTCAACTCCAGGGTCCTCAAGGCCATGATCAAGTATACGGGTGTGTGAGGGCTTAATGGGGTAGGCAGCAAGAAAACCAAGCCATTCACCTGGAAAGCGTCCCTCCGACAACGGTCCCCACCTCTGGTACTGTGTAGATTTCATCCACCTGAAACCAAAGAAAATGCTGTCAACAGCCGGCCAAGTCCAAACGCTCAAAACAGGCTCAGGGCTCAGTCAGAAATAGTCCCTCCCAGGGGCGCCTGGGTGGCTCTGGTCAGCTGGGCGTCTGACTTCCGGCTTGGGTCATGATTTCACTGTTCATGAGTTCGAGCCCCACATCATGGTCTCTGCTGTCAGCACAGAGCCCACTTCACATCCTCTGTCCTCCCCCACGCCCTCGGCCCCTCCCCAGCTCACATGCATGCTCTCTCTCAAAAAAAAAAAAAAAAATATTCAAAAAAAAAAAAAAAAGAACTAGTCCCTCCCAGTGCCCCAGCTCAGGCCTGCTGGGTGGCCAATGACCTGAAACTCCGTCAGCTGCTGCATGAGCTCCTCCTGCTCCTTGCTGTTGGTAAGTGGTGGCAAGATATTCAGAAAGACTTTGAGCAGGTCCAGGCTCTCCCCAGACACGCTGGAGAGCGTGAAGATAGGAGTGACACTGTAGAGGAAGGCACCAAATGGACAGATAAGGAAACTTGTAACAGGAAGCAGAGGGCAGAGCTCCATGCATGCAAAGGTGAGCTTCTGGGGCGGGGCGGGGGTGGGGGGCAGGGGCACCTCTCTCCTATCTGCTAACCTTCTCAGGAGCTGAGTCCTCTCTCTGTGAGCCAGCCAAGGAGTGTGGATCATGAGGCTTATCCCAGGGACCAAGCAAGACAGCGAATGCCTGGCACTTTGTCTCCTGAGTCCCAGGCACTAGCAAGGCTCCAGGCTGGCTACCACACATTACCCCTCCCTCCCCACAACCCCAACCAGAAAAACCACAGAACTGAGACAGAACTGGTCTGGACCTGGGGTGGGACACCACGCTCTGGGGCCCCATGACAGCCTTCCCTTTGGATGAGGGCTCTGGCATGAGAAAGGCTTACTTGGGTGACTGGGCAAACTGCTGGGCAGCCGTGACAGCATCATCCTCAGAGGTGACCAGCATGGGGACCTTGTGGCAGCCAGGCTGCTTGAGGACCCGCTCCAGCTGTCGTACTGTCCTCTCCACTGTGGTCTTGGCGCACAGGTCCACTTTGCTGACCACGATGAAGAAGGGCACTTTCAGGGCCAGGGCTAGCCCTAGATGTTCCCTTGTGGTGCCGGCTGCCTCAGAGAAGGAAGGCAGGCAGTGGGAAAGAAGGGTGAGAACGTGGGAGGGAGCAGGGGGAAAGGGAGAGTTCGTTCGGCTCCCGGATTTGAGGAGGCCCAGGGTAGGAGAGTCCGCAACCCCCTCCAGCCCCGTCCCGGCTGCAATGCCTCGTACCGATCCCAGTATTAGCACTGACGAGGAGCAGGGCACAGTCGGGGCAGTATGAGGTGAGGCCAAAGATGGTGGTGTGCAGGTACTTGTGGTGGCCTGCCAGGTCGATGAAGGTGATCATCTTGGAGCTGCTTTCACAGATCTCTTCTGCCGTCCGTGAGTCACTGTAATTCACCACCTGGCCCAGAGCCCAGGGCTCTCAGTGCCCCCTGCCCGCCTCCCCAACCCTTTACGAGTCGCCAGGACCTAAACCAGTCGCTGGGTGACCCTGCCTCTTAACCCTGAGCCCCATTTCAGCAGACTGATTTAATTCAGTGGACTCCCCATTTGTTTCCTAAGGAGACAGGGCTCACTCAGTGTCCCTCAGGGTCGTCTTCTACACTACTCCAGAAAGTCTCCACACTCTGCCCTCGGACACTGTCCTTCACCACTACCATCCCATCCTCAGAGTCTGGCCCCACTGGGTCCCGCTGATTTCATGCACCTCTCCCTTGCTGTTAAAGCCCAGGATCTCGAAGCTGATGCTGGAGGTTCGGCCAGACTGAATCTCATGCAGGTGGCGGAAAAGGTTGAGTCGAGCCCGGCCCCGCCCATTGTCCAGCTCTCCCTGGGTCAGGACTCCGAGCAGAGTCGACTTCCCTGAGTCCACATTGCCCAGGACGGCCACACGGAGGTCTAGGAACTGTGGATGAATTTGCCAGAGGTAAGGGCTCCAATCCCTTCCATCTCTCCACGGACGGTTGAGTTAAGGGCAGTGACACTCCCCGGGGACCAAAGAGTAACTTGACCCCCTGGTTCCCGGGCCAGTGAACAACCTGCCATTGGGAAGGGTCTGTGCTCACCTGCTGGTTGTCAGGGACCTTTCGTACCAGCACCTCGGTGATCTTCCGGGGCATGTCGCTATCATAATCCACTTCTCGCTCCCGAAGAACAGTGATGTCTGCCCCAACCCTGTCACAGCAAGGCCATACTGCCACACCTCACCTTTACTCTCCTGCCCCCTACCTTCCACCTGTCCACCCTCTGGGCCAAATGGCCTTCCCACACCTCCCAAACACCCTACTTCACTTCCTATCACCCTCCAATCTATCCCACATCCTTTGAAACAAACAAATCTTAAAGCAAGGAGCAAAAAAGCCTAGGTCCATCACGGAGGAGCCCAGAACACTAGCCTTCCCCACTTCAGCCTTTTGTCAAGAGAAGGCAGCAGAAGGATAGGCCCTCCTTGGCCCCTCGGCCCAACATGAGTGGTATTCGTGCGTCTTCTCCAGAGCCAGGTGAGGAGAACCGAGGGGGAATGGGAAGCATACTTCTCTGCCATCCGGTGCAGGGTCTTGAGGGATGCCCGCATCTCCTCCTCGGCCAGCCCCACCAGCAGCCCATTGTCCTCTACCCCAATCTGGTAGACAGCCTCACCGCGGCCCTCCTGGAGCCGCCACTTCATCTGTGTCACCAGGTGCTCAAAGCGGTACTGGGATGGATTCACCAGCTTCAGCTTAGGACAGGTGAGGTATCATAAGAAAATGAGGTCAGAGATGCTCCTCCTAAATAAAGCCACATGCTTCGCACCTGTCCCGCTCCAAGGATCAGGACCTCCCTTTCCTCCTTAAACCCCCTCATCCCTGACCTCCTCTAGCAGTGAGTCCCCCTCAGCAGAATGAGGTGCAAAGCTCTTACCCTGAATCAGAGCCCTAAACTGCTATATCCCAAAACTGGACGGATCTCAGAAAAATCACTCCCCCCCAAACACACACCCAGCCTAAGACTCACTTTATATTCGATGTTTCCATCTTCAGCCTGAAAAGAAACAGAAAGCAGTTATGACACAGTGTCCTGCCCCAACTTCTACTTCCCTCTGATTTCTGCTGGGGCCCAGGCAGCTAACTTGAGAGAGCAGGAAGCTCAGTGGCACCTGCTTAGATAGGTGCCTGCCAAAGGTCATTGGCAGACAAACTCTCTACTCAGCCCCAATGGACCTCTCTGAAGGAAAGGCCTCTAGGAATACAGTGAGTCACCCATCCAAGCCAGAAACTGAACCCTTAGCGCCTCCTTTCTTTGAGTACTGGTGGCACATTCTTCCTACATACAAGATCACCCTTCCTTTCCTCTGGGGCCTCAAACTGTTGTCCCCAGAAGTCTAGATCTCCTCCGTGTTCAGGCTGCTGAGGCCCTTCTTTGCTACTGGTCTGGGAGACACCAGTTCCTTCCTGCCCACCCCTCTCAGCTGATGTCATCAAGAGTAAGAGGCTGCAAGAGGTTCTGGACCAGAGCCAAGGGTAAGCTCAGTACTGGTCACTATAAGCCTGATGAGAGAGGAGCCCAGATAAGATAAGAGGCAGGGCTCCAAAGTTGGGGCTGAGATGAAGAGAAGAAACTCAGAAAATGCAATAAACTAGACTCACATGCCTGGCAGAGGTGAAATCCCGAATCCACCCACACAATTTCCTCTGGGTCTTCCCTCTATCAGGTGACCTGCCACAGAAGCAACCTGTTTGCCTGAGCCTTCCCCTCTAGGGTGCAACAGGATGAGAGAGTTGCTTGTTCTCCCTGTCCTGCATTTTGGCACTGCTCCTCCCTGGCCATTTCTTTTTCTTTCTTCCTTCCTGTCGTCATTCCATCTCTCTGAGGCCCTCTGACTCCTAGGCTCTCACAGGTCTTCACCCATAATCTCTGCCTCAAGGAGTATAAGGGAGATCATTTCTCATTAGCAAAGACCTTCCTTTTTGATCATTTTGCTAAAAATGAAAAATTAGGATGGGTGGCTGCAGGAAAGAGTGCAAGGATGATTGATGGTCTAGGCCAATGGCTCTCAAAGTGTGGTCCCAGGACCAGGTAGCATTAGCAAGGCCTGGGAACTTACAAGAAATACAGAGTATCAGGCCCACCTCTGACCTACTGAATCAGAAACTCCAGGGGCGAGGCAGCAATCCAGGGGATTCTGATACACGCTAAAGTTTGATAACCACTGGCTTAGGCTCTTCCCCTGGATCCTCCTTTCTTAAGAGGGACGAAGTACAGTTACTCTTGGCCTTAGGGACACACAGAGCAGGAATGTGGAAGTTGTCCCTATTTCTTCATAGGATAAAGGGCAGGAAGACCTAAACCTGACTGTTGTCTGTTTCCATATTGTGTACTCAGGGATACAGACGGAACATACTGCTCTTTTCTACACGAGCAGTTCCCTGTGGAACAAGTTTAGAAAACTCTGCCTCCTCATCCCAGGATGAAGTCTCTCTCCCATCACAAGGATGAAGCGCGGGTATTTTACTCTGCTTTTTCCAAGGGGATGAAAGTGGGATCCTCTTTCCCCACTTCTCTAACTGGGGTTACTGGATCAGAACAGGAGGGATCCTCCTCCCCACTCTTCCTCGTGGGGTCTGTCTGACACCAGAGGGAAGGTCTTCCCTGGGGTCTTGGGACCGGAAGGAAGGGTTCTCCTCTCCCCTCCGAGTTCTGACACCGGAAGGGGGTATCTATTCCCTCCGTCCCGCCTCCCTGGAGTACCGGGACCGGAAAGAGTAGTTGCCTTTCACCCGCCACTTCTCATAGGAGGAGCTCACCTCGGGGGGCAGGTACGGAGGGTTGTTGGCTTTGCCCCCTCTGTTCCTTCCGTTCTTCTTTTTCCCCTTTGGGCCCCCGCAGCTGCTGCTGCCGCCGGCCCCCCTAGCCTTAAGGGTTCCGCCCACGGCCGGGCCTCCTCCGGGCCGGCAGCAGCCGCCGAACAGCTCCGATACCCGCGAGTCCATCCGCCGCTGCCGCCAGCCCCCCGCCCGGCCCCTCCCCCCTGCCACCACCACCACCACCACCACCGCCTCCACCGCCTCCGCCGCCTCCGCCGCCCCTACTGCCACCGCCGCGCCCGGCCAGCCAGAGAAGAGCGGGGTGGGGCCCTGCGCAGGCCACGCCCCCACTCTTCTCGGGCCCCGGTCGCGTCAGAAACGCGCAGGGCACCACGGGAGATAGAGTCCTCAAGTCTGGGATCTCCCTTAAATGAGCTGCCTGGTGCCCTACAACTCCCAGGAGGCATTGCGGCTCAAAGGGCCGCGGGGCGGCTTCGGGGCGTAGGCAAAGGCATAGGGAAGCCTAGGTGCGCAAAGGCCTAGGGGAGCTGTAGTCTGGTTCTCAATCTCCGTGCTGCCAGTGGGTCTTTTCCTAAAGCCTCCTTAAGGGGAAGTTTAGAGCCCCGCGGGCTGGGAGTGGGACAGTCACCCAAAGCGGAGGGCTTACTTCAGAATCAAGCTTTGTGGGCACTCCAGAGTTTGGGCCCTTAGCGAGATCCCAGACAACAGGTTTTGGACCTGAGGAGCTGCAAAATTCAGGGCGACTGATCCCTCCAGCCGGCTGGCTCCACCCCTGCCTCAATTTCTTCCCCGATTGCTGGCGTGCCGTCGGGGTGAGTCAGGGCGAATGCCAGGGCGGAGGCAGACGGTGGTTAGCCTAATTACGGCTGTTATTGTTGCGATGATTATGCCACCTTTACACAGTAGTCACTGCTTTATTACCAGGCTGGCACCCTCCGGGGGCTGGTTTTAGCAACCCGAGACACCGCGGTGCCACCGACACGAGGCCCGAACCCGTAAACCGGCCTTGCAGCCTGAAGGCTACAAGGATGCCCGCCTCCGAGAATTACCCCTCCCCTTTGTTTTGAAGTAGAACCAATCCCGGCACAGCGAGTTTAGTTTTAAAATAACCAGGGCTGTGGCTGGGGCCTGCCCCCCACTTAGGGCGGGGCCGGGGCTCCGGTTACATCAGCCACCGCTAAGGCTGTGGCCGGGGGAAGTAGCAGGTAATAGAAACTTGGCCAAGGGCCCAGGAGATTACTGACATATGACTCTCTTGCCAAGCCATCTCTCTTGCTTTTTAGGGCTCTTGCAGTCGGCAGAGAGTAAACACACTCAGCGACAGAAACCAGTGTACAAAGACACTAGAAAGGCAGAGTGGAGAAGCAGTTAATGTTGCTGGGCTGGGAGTCAGGACGCCAAGGTTCAGTTCTTAGCCCCATGGCTGTCTCATGATTCACCATTCACCCTATGTCCACTTCCCCTCTTTCACAAACATCGAGATGCTCTCACACAGTCAAGAAATAAAAAAGGCCCTTCCCTCCAGATCTCAGTTTTCCTTGGAAAACTACAAGCAAGCACCAGCAGTGGCTCACCTCTGGCGATCCTTTCAGGAGTTTAGACCCGGTGGAGTCCATGGCTTCCCCTCAACCACAAGGACGGTGGCAGGTTACTGATCATTTGGTTGCTGTCCACATGGCATAACTCCCCAAAGCAATGGGAGTAGAAGGATCAAAATCTGCAAAAGGGCCGTAGCACATCCAGCCAATTTTGTGGTCTTCAGTGGTTGAAAGGACACACGACTTCTCTCTTCTTGCCCCTGTTCCACTGAAGGAAGGTTATACTGCAGAGGTCAACTCCAGCCAGTGGCACAGCCCCTCCAGAAAAACTAATAGAGGCTGAGACTGAGGAACTCAGTAGGAGATCTCAAGAAGGATGGGGGTGGGAAGGGAGAGCCAAGTCCATTACCCCAGCATTCTCACCACCACCAGCTCTGGGCTCTCTTGATAACCAGGGCCTGCTGGCACTCACCTGATAACACTCGTCCTCTCGTCTTCTGGAGTCTTTCAACCACCCAACACACAATTTCATTTCCTCCATCCCAATCCCCTTGTCTCCTAAGTAGAGAACTTCTTTTTAAGAGATGGGAGGGGATAACCCATTCTGATATCCCGTTCTTGAACAATATAACTTACCACAGACAGGAGTGGAGGCTGGCAGAAGAGTAAACTAAACGGGGTTGGTCCTGGGAGGATGGAGGTGGTATATGTGTTTGGTTTCCTGGAGGGGTTGCTTATGAAGTGCTTATGAGGTGGTTGACTATGAAATTACACATACACACACACACACACACACACACACACACACACATTTTTTCCTGGTATATAATTAGTCATTTATTCTTGGTGTATAGTAACTTACAGAAGTTTTAAATTCAGATTTAGCAATCCTTCCGTTTGTACTTTATTTTGTGTCATGCATAGGGTAACCTCACTCCTAGATTATGAATTATTCCTCAATATTTTCTTCGAGGAGTTTTGAGGTTTAATTTTTACATACTTTAAAAATTAAGTTATTTATTTATTTTGAGAGAGAGCACATGAACAAGGGAGGGGCAGAGAGAGAGGGAGAGAAAGAATCCCAAGCAGACTCTGTGCTGGTGGTGCAAGGCTCAAACTCAGAACTGAGCCTAAATCAAGAGTCAGATGCTTAACCAACTGAGCCACCTAGGAGCCCTGAGGTTTATTTTTATGTTTAGATCTTTAATCCATTTGGAATTTATCCTTATGTAGGAACTAATTTGATTTTTTTTCTTTTGAATGGATAAGGAGCTGTCTCAAGTTACTTGCTTTGAAAAGTCACCCTCATCATATACTAAGATCTACCTATACATGGATCTGATTCTGAAAACTCTCCTATTTTATTATTTGTTTGTTTATTCCTGATCCAACAGCATAGTATTTTAATCATTGTACTTTTGTGGTATGTTTTGCTCTCTGCTCCTTACTTCCTGAGACACACCCCTCTTTGGCCTCCATGACCTGGCACTTGTTTATTATTCATTATACCTCTCTGGTCACTCCTTAGTCTCCTCAACGGTCTCTTCTCTCTCTGCTCATCCCCTAAATATTAGTGTCTTCAGGATCCTAGCTTATTCTTATTCTACTTGCCTTCCCTGGGTGATCTTATACACTCCTACACTGACGACTCTCAAATACATCTCTATTCTCAATGGTGTTCCTAAATATCTCTTCACTGTCCAATGGAACAGCAAACTCAATCTATCAAAAACAGAACTCATCTTTTCTCCATACCTATACACCAGTAAACCTGGTCTTTCTTTAGTGTTCCCTCTTCACTGAATGACACAACTAGCCATATAGTTGCTCATCTCAAAAAAACCCTGCTTGTAGTCGCTATCTCTTCTCCTCTTCCTGGGAACAACCACCAAATCATGTTCACTGGACCTCCTAAATAGATCTAGGGTTCACCCAATTCTTTCCACCCCACTGTGACTACCGTTGTTCAGGCCTGTTTCACCAATGCACTTGGGTAACTGCAGTCACTAGCTTTAATTAGCATCCCTGCCTCCTCTCTCATTCTCCCTGTAATATAATCTATTCACTGCAGCCAGTGTAGAGATTAAATTTATAAATGTAATCATGTCACTCCCCTACTTAAGCTTTCAAAGCTTCCTCATCCCCCTACAGGATCAAGTTCGAACTTTTTAACATGGCTTATAAAGCTTTGCCATAATATGGATCCTGTTTGTCTACCGCAGCCTTAACTCTTTTTATACTGTGAACTCTTTTCATTCCTTGAATGAAGGATGCTTATATCTTTCAAGGTCTCCAGGATACCTAGGCCCTCCTCTTTACCTTTACGCACCCTATAGGTCACAGTTTCTTGGGCACATTTCCTCTGGGACCACCCTTGTCTCCCACATCATCTAGGTGAAGCGCCCGGTTCTTCGCATCCACAGCCCTTGCACACTTCACTGTATATAACTGATCACGTGCTCGTCACGTGGGATCGTGTTTATAGGTAGCAAGCTCCTTGACGACAGCGACTGCCTCTTGCTTGTTTGCCAGAGTCTCCAGCACCTAGGACAGGGCCTGGCACGAAGTAGGTGCACAGCGAATAGTGAATGCAGGAGAGAATGAATGCGTGAGGTCGAGGGTCCTCAGGAAGGCGGCAGAGCTTAGTATCTGAGAGAGCGTGGGTTCTCTGTGCAGGAAGGGCTCGGTGTACCTGTGCGGGAGTGTTGCTAGCGAGCACAGGGATCAAATCCCAGCTCCGCCCAGCCTCCACTACTGAGGCTGTGCCGTGCCCGGGCCCGCCCTAGCCGAGCCGGAAGTGGAGGCGAGGGTTTCCCATGATACCCCGCGGGGCGCCCATTCAAACCGCACGGAGAAGAGGGAGGAGGTCGTGATGGCGGCTCCGGAGCCGGAAGTGCTGTGCCCGGGCTCAGTACCTGGTAAGGACGGGGGTCCCGAGCTCGGGGAGCCCAGGGGACCTGTTTCTTCTCTACGCCACCCCCCAGTCTTTTAGCCCAAGGCCCTCTCTCTGGCCCGTCTTCCTTGTCCCCACTTCCTGGCTCCCGCCCGGCCCCAGACTCCATTGCCCCCTCGGTCTTGGATCCCATTGGTTCGCCCCCAGTCTGTCTTCCTTTCGACGACATTCTGGACCCCGCTTGATTACACTTACTGTAAACTATTTTCCCCAGATCAGGGATTCCACTTTCTGGAGGCCTGGTCACGGTGTCTGAAATTCTCCCTTCCCCTAGCTCCCATCTGTCGTCACTTAAATCCCCTTAGGCGTCTGGGGTCGGGAATCTCCTCGTAGCGACCCGCCCAGAAGTTTGCGGAGGGAATGTGTCGGGCTTTCCCCGCCGCTGTCCAAGGGAATGAGAAGACTGACTTTGGCTTTTAAGGTTTTCAAGTGTCTGTTTTGTCCCTCTGCCCACCTCCTAGAGTTGGAATGGTATGAGAAGTCAGAGGAAACCCACGCCCCCCACGTAGAACTACTTGAGACTGCCTCCGCTCAAGAACCTTCCATCCCTTCGGAGCCCTTTCGCCCCAGAGACTGCATGGTGCCAGTGGTGTTTCCCGGGCCTGTGAGCCAGGAAGGCTGCTGTCGGTTTACTTGTGAACTTCTAAAGCATATCATGTACCAACGCCAACAACTGCCTCTGCCCTATGAGCAGCTTAAACACTTCTACCGAAAACCTTCTCCCCAGGTAGGCACAGGCTTTGGGAGAAAGCTGTTGTGAAGATGGTAGACAGATGAACAGGGGTTCTGAGGAGTCTGCAGGGTCTGTCAAGCCTAAGCAGCTGTAGGGAATGTGTTTCAATCAACCCCATGACTTCAGTCAGTTTCTCCTCACCCTGCACTATGATAGTCTAACCTTTCTCCATTTACTCTTCCCGAAATTACTGTGTTGCATTTTGGCGTCATGAACTGACCCGGTAATTTTACTGTCTTTTCTCCCCTGCTTTTTTTTTTTTTTTTTTTTTAAGTTTATTGATTTGAGAGAGAGAGAGAGTGTGTGAGCAGGGGAGGGGCAGAGAGAGAGAGGAAGAGAGCATCCTAAGCAGGGTTGGCAGGGTCAGCGCAGAGCCCAACCTGGGGCTCCAGCTCACAAACCGTGAGATCTTGACCTGAGCCGAAATCAAGACTTGGCTGCTTAACCAACTGAGCCACCCAGGTGCCTCTCATGTTTCTTTATGATAGCATCCTGTTGTTTCCTGTCTATTTGATTTTCTTTTACTTGAGGATATTACTGTATTTTTGAAATTTTCCTCTGTTCCTTTCAGTTTCTTCCGGACTCCTTTTTCTATTTGTTTTGGTCTCTGTCATGTTCGAGGCTTTTATTCTGTCTCTGGTGAGGGGCACCTGGGTGGCTCAGTCGGTTGAGTGTGTGACTGGCTCAAGTCATGATCTTGCATCGTGGGTTCCAGCCCTGCATTGGGCTCTGTGCTAACAGCTCAGAGCCTGGAGCCTGCTTCAGATTCTGTCTCCCTCTCTGTCCCTCCCCCACTTGCTCTCTGTCTCTGTCTCTCTCTCAAAAATAAATAAATATTTTTTTAAAAAAGCATAAGTAAGTGGAAGTTTCTGTATGTATATATAGCTGGGCCTTGTGAGCTGATAGCCCTCATTTTAAGGATGCTGGGTAGGAATCTAGTGGTCTCTTTGGAGGACTCCAAAACATCAATATTGGAAAGTCATCTGTCTGGAGAAGACTGGGTGGAGAAAATTGGCAAGTGATCTAAGAGTCCTCACACGGTTTTCACCGAGTCCCCCTCTTTTCACTCCTCTGTGATGCCTGAATTGCCAATTCCTAACCCTTTCTGGGATTCTGCAATGTGAATCAGTTTGCTTTCATGGGGGTTCCCTCTGTTAGCCCTTGGTAATCAGCTCCCTTGAATTCTTCCATCTGCCTTCTATTTTCCAAAAATTTGTTGTTGCCTTTGTTTGTTTCCCAGTTCTCTGAAATAGTAGTATTTCAGATGGGACCACAAATAAGCAGATGTTCAAGTTTTCACATTTAACTGGAAGATCCAGCTGCAGAATCACCTTTCTTAAGCCAAATTATCCTCATTTCCTGTTGTCACTCATGGCACAGCAAAATTTACTACCTGCCATTCCACCAAATCTTGACTATTTTAGTTGCTTATTTCTGGATGCCCTCCTGCTTCAGAGTACTGTCTTTCTGTTCTAAGCATGGGAGAAAGTATGGTTTTGTGCAAAGACTACATTTTTCCATTTTGACATATTGCCCTCTGATAAAACCCAGTGTCTTGGCTGTGGAAGCCTAGTCCCGGAAGTCTACTGCATCCCAACAGGGGTCTTCAGAGGGCATTAGCTTCCCCCATTTGTCCTTCCCTTTCACCATTCTTTTTCCTCACAGGCAGAGGAGGTGATGAAGAAGAAACCTCGGTCCGCTGTTGAGGTGAGCAGCAGGAAATGCCAACAAGCCCTGGCAGAACTGGAGAGTGTCCTCAGCCACCTAGAGGGTCTCTTTGCCCGGACACTAGTACCCCGAGTGCTGATCCTCCTTGGCGGCAATGCCCTAAGTCCCAAGGAGTTCTACGAGCTTGACTTGTCCCGCTTGGCCCCCAACAGCATGGACCAGAGCCTGAGCACAGCAGCTTGTTTGCGCCGTCTCTTCCGAGCCATTTTCATGGCCGATGCCTTCAGTGAGCTACAGGCTCCTCCACTCATGGGCACCATTGTCATGGCACAGGGGCACCGTGACTGTGGAGAAGACTGGTTTCGACCCAAGCTCAGCTACCGAGTGCCTACCCGGGGCCACAAACTGACTGTGACCCTATCCTGTGGCAGACCCTCTATCCCAGCCACGGCCTGGGAAGATTACATCTGGTTCCAGGCACCAGTGACACTTAAAGGCTTCCATGAGTGAATGGGGGTGCTGCTTAATCGTGAGCACAATGGCTTCAATTACCTTTCCCCCTGTGGCACCAGGTCACCCATCTGTTGCTTAGAGCTAGAGTGCCTTCCTGGTGAGAGGAATGTTCTGTTCTTGGGCTGCCTGCCTCCTCTCCTCAGACTTCCTGGTGGGCTGATTGTATGGCTGTGGCTGTCATTTTTATCATTGAGTGACATCTCTTTGAATCAAAGGTTGGTTTTCCCAGAAGGTGCTGGGTGAGGCATTTCTGTTCAGGGATGGAAAACAAATATGAGTCCATAGACAAACACTCTTATGGAAGTGGCCCTTTTAAACTTTTTGCTGTGGTCTTTCAGAATTTGTACTAGGGACATAATGAAGTTAAATGTAAAAATGAATGGATCCATATTAAATTATCCTGAAACTCTTGTTTTAAAGATTTCCAGGGTTAAGACGAAAATATTTTCTCTTTCTTCTTGGCCTCTTATGCTCCAGGGCTTCTAGGATCTTTACGACCAATAGTTCTTTCTCTTTGTCAGTCCCAGGCTGCCCTGGGAAGTTAAGTGACTTGGCCAAAGTTCTATAACACTCTGATGTCAGAGCTGGGACTAGAGTCCTCATCAGCTGACTCCTAGCCTGACCCCCTTTCCTTGCCACATACCAGTATTTGTGATCATTAAATTATGTGTGCCAATGGTCACACAGGGGAAGGGGGCTGAGAGACTGGGCTGGAAGAGCGTATTTGTAAAGCCTGTGGGATCCGCTCTTGAGGCCAAATGGCCCTTTGGGGATTCTGCCCAGCCTGTCTCCATTGCAGCTGTCTGGTGGCTGTGGGTAGTTGCCGTTGGTAGTATTATCCTCAGGCAAACCCAGCTCTCTTGCCTGTGGCAGTTTCTCAACTGCACCTATGAACTGGCCAGCCTCATCCCTGCTGTTCTCTCTGGCTTGCCGGTGTCCTGACTGCTAAGCATTGACGTGCTTAGTCCCTGAGAATAGCTGCTTATTTCTTGGAAGCAAATTGAAGACAGAATCCTTATTCTGCTGGTGTTGGAGATAGGTAGGGGTGTGTGTGTGTGTGTGTGTGTGTGAGAGAGAGAATAGGGACAGTATAAATATATACTACTTTTTATTTTTAAGAAGAATGTTTTCGTCTTTTAAGAAAAAAAAATAGTTGATATTTTATGTTACATTTGAAGCACTTTACATACATTTTCTCGTGTAACAGCCTTCCATAGTACGTATTGTTCTCAGTTTATAGATGAGGCTTGGGGAAATTGAACAGCTTGCCTGCATGGTGAAACCTGAATTCTAACCCAGTCCACTTGGCTCAGAGACTTAGTGCTGTATTGCTGTATGCTGTGCTGGACGTGCTGTGTGGTCTTACTCTGAAATAGTTAACCTCATTCAGTCTGCCAAAAGTGGTAGCGTTGGAAAGCCTCAGGACTCCCTTCTCTGGCTTCACACTGGGTCCTGACAAGGAACCTGCCCTTAATAAGTGGTAAGTAAATCTGGATTCAATGAGAACAAAAGGTTTGGGTTATATTCAGTGCTGTGACCGATGAAAGCGTATTCTACCAGTTAGAATTTTTGCTGGTTTTCTATCCGAGGATGTTGCCTTACAAAAGAGGAACAGGGCCATATCTCCCACTTGGGAATGCACAGGCTGAGGGGTCTGACAAGGGGGAGGGAGAGTTTTCACCGAGGGAGTTAGAAATTGTTTTGAGATGGAAGACACATTAGACTGTCCGCTCCCTCAAATTTTAAAAGCCTTCGTAAATGATGCCCAGATAACCAAAACAAAGTAATTATCCGGGTAATTTAGACACTTATTTCTCTCTTGGCTTGGCACTGGGGCTCAGATCATTCTGATTTCATGAGTCCTCTCCCAAGGAATCCAGAAATGAGATCAGTTAATATTAACAACAAGGCCAATCTCCTTCGCTGACGACAAGCTTGCTGAGGCTTCTGTTCATCTAGTTGGCCTTGGCTGGGGACTCCAGAGGTGGATGTGGAGTAGGCTCTAGCCCAGGGAGTGAGGAGCCCCAGCTGCAGTGGGATTCTGGCCATTTATGTGTTGCTACCATTTGGGCCTAAAGGCAACAGTTGTGGAGCCCAAGATAGCTAAATGTAGGTGGCAGGTGATGTCATCCTTTTTGTACTTCTCCTCATGAGGACTGAAGAGAATGGTGGAACAATCCACCCCCCTTCTGTAGGACTTGGCTTTGTAGGGTGGGGGCAGGGGGATTAGTTGTCATAGATTCCTAGGCTTTATTATTATTATTTTAATTTGTTTTTGAGGGAGAGAGCATGTGCAAGGGAGGGGCAGAAAGAGGGAGACAGGATCTGAAGCAGGCTCTGAGCTGTGAGCACAGAGCGGAATGTGGGGCTTAAACTCACAAACTGTGATCATGATCTGAGCCGAAATCAAAGTTGGCTGCGTAGCCCACTTGAGCCACTCAGGTGCTTTTAGAGCCAAGAGGATCACATATTACTTTCTTTACACAATTCTTTTTTTTAATTTTAATTTTTATTTATTTCTAGGAGAGAGAGAGACAGCGTGAGCAAGGGAGGGTCAGAGAGAGAGGGAGATACGGACTCCGAAATAGGCTCCAGGCTCTGAGCTGGCAGTCAGCACAGAGCCCGACGCGGGGCTCGAACCCACGAACCATGAGATCATGACCTGAGCCGAAGCCGGACACTCAACCGACTGAGCCACCCAGGCGCCCCCATTACTGTCTCCTTAAACCGGCATGCCTAGGGCACCTGGGTGGCTCTTTTGGGTAAGTGTCTGACTCTTGGTTTTGGCTCAGCTCATCATCTCATCATTTGTGGCTAGAGCCCCATGACCTAAGCGAAAGTCGGACGCTTAACCGACTAAGCCACGCAGGCGCCCCTTTCTTTACACAGTTCTGAGGCTAAGAAGGGACACAACTGGAGTGAAGTAATACAGCTAATGCCACGGTTGTGTTTTCTTCCCAAGCCCCCATTCCATATAGGAGACTCAATAAATGACAACTACTGGAAGGGCTCAGGAAAAGGCAAAAATATCCATGGACCTGGGGACTTAAAATCCCACACTGTAGCCTATCTATGTTAGGGGAAACTACTCCATTACTGTCACAGCTGAATACATGAGGTCCCCAACGCGAGAAGGAAAGAGTACTGGAGCTAGTGTGTCTCCCAGCTTTTCTGAAGGGCTGGGTGGGGAGCAGCGCTGGCCTGAGGCTCTGAGAGGGCGGGGCCCTCAGGCGGTGGGTGGAGTACTTCCTTCTGGGGGAGGGCAGAGCTTTGGTCTCCATGGAGACAGCTTCTCCTAGCAACCTGCCAGGCGTTGAGCAGAGTCTTGGGCGCAATGGACGCAGAGAGCCTCCTGCTGTCGCTGGAGCTGGTGTCCGGCAGCGGGCAGGGCCTCAGCCCCGACCGTCGGGCCTCGCTGCTTACCTCCCTTAAGCTGGTGAAACGCGATTACCGCTTCGATCGGGTCCTCTTCTGGGGCCGCATCCTCGGCCTCGTCAGCGATTATTACATCGCACAGGGCCTGAGTGAGGACCAGCTCGCACCACGCAAGACCCTCTACAGGTGGAGGCGGAGGCCCCGGGCCGTCACTGAGAGGCTGGGACGGGGTGGGTGTGGTTGGAAGCGAAAGGGGCGGGGCCTACAGGGACGGGGGAAGAGCGGGGAGCAGGGGCGGGGGCAGGGGGAGGCGTGCAATTTGAAGGCTGGCAGGTTTATAGTAGAGGCCGGGCTAAGAACGAAGGCAGAGCAAGGTGAAAGTTCCCAGAGAATGGAGACCTGGTGTGGACTCTAGGTACAGTCCTGTCATTGGGAAGAGCGCAGTTTGCAAAGGGTTATAGAAGTCCTGGAAGGTAATGAGGTGCTGTTTGGCACAGGGTCTAGGAGCATCTTCGGTGGAGTAGGAGTTGACTCACAAAAAGAGGCGGTCTAGGAAGTTGAGAACGAATGCAGAATAGTAGAGGAGGGATAACGGGGAAATTCCCTGGACACTACCATACAGGGCTATCCTGCCTGTCTTGACTACCCCCAGCAATGTTGGAAAGCTCACCACCTTACAAAACAACCAGTGCAGGCTGCAGGGAGTTGGAGACTTCATGTATCTGTCATGCATCAATGCAACATTGATTGGATGCATTCTGTGTAGACAGGGTTACAGAGACGGCCAAGACTCACCAGTCTCCAAGTTAGTCACATCCTAGGAAGGAAGACCGACACATAACCCAACAATTACAGTAAAGTGTTTTAACACCAGAACATGTGCATACAAAGGGGGACCAAGGCCTTCTAGAGAGCAATTAAGATTGCTAAAGGAGTAAGAGATCTGTTGAGATCTGAAAGCTGATCAGGAGTTCCTCGGAAGGTGTGAGGGGAAGGCATGCCAATTAGAGGGGATGGTTCTGCAGACTTGGCTGGAGTGGGCTAGGAGTGTTTGGGAGACCAGCAGGAGGTAAACCTGATAGTGGCAGGCAAGGGTGTCTCCATCCACAGGGTGGATGGAGAGGCTGGGGTGGGGGTGGGTTGAACTTTGTTCATAGGGTATGGGGAGCCATTGAGGGGCTCAGCAAGAAGAGCCCGTTTAGATCTGGGTGGGCAGGCCAGCCTGGAAGTGGGTGAGCATTCAGGAGTGTGTTGCAGTGTCCAGATGAAGGAGACTGAAAGGGAGAGGCAGCTGAGGGAATGTAGGGGAGGAGATGTAAGCGGTAGCACTGACAGGACTTGGGCCTGAATGGGGCAGGTCAAGGCTGACCCCTCCTTCCAGCTAAGGCAGTTGGGTAAGTGCTGGTGCCACCCACTGGGGCAGAAATCAGGAAGCAGGTCTAGGGAAACCCCCATTGAACTTGGTATGAGGTGACTGGGGCATATTTAAGTACAAATCTGAAGTCCTGACAAAAAGTCTGGACTGAAGATGGGGATTTGGGACTCATTTTGTTCCATGAGATTTTATTTCATCAGCACCGACTATGTGCCAGGCAGTGATCTAGGCACCAGGAATTCAGTAGTAAATGAGAGAAAGCCCTTGCTTTTATAGAGTTTACATTATAGCGTGCAAGTTGTGTGTGTGTGTGTGTGTGTGTGAAGAAACAATAAATAAACACACATACATTGCATGTCTGCTGGTGTGCAATGCTGAGAGGGATAGAGAATACAGAATGGGGTACAGTCTTAAATAGGGTGGTCAGGGGCGCCTGGGTGGCTCAGTCGGTTAAGCATTGGACTTTGGCTCAGGACTTCTCACGGTTCGTGGGCTGGAGCCCCGTGTTGGGCTCTGTGCTGACAGCTAGCTCAGAGCCTGGAGCCTGCTTCAGATTCTGTGTCTCCCTCTCTCTCTGACCCTCCTCTGCTCATGCTGACTGTATCTCTCTCTCTCAAAAATAAATAAAACATTAAAAAATAATTTTTAAATAGGGTGGTCAGAGATAGTCTCTCTGATAAGGTAACATTTGT